TGGAGCCACCACAGAAATTTGATGTATGATACATCGACCCCAGCAATACTATTCTCATAGCTGAAGTTGCAGATCTTAAAAAACAAATCTCTCCCCCTTGTAAATCTGCCCTTAAACTCTTTGTTGTAATTACAGGGATAGTGCTGGGATTGCACAGAGCAAAGCAGCTCCTGTTACATCCGAGCTGCGCCGAACCCCACAACTGACACTGGATCATGGGTGTATTCTAACACATGCAGACGATGGCAGAAACATTTCCGTAAATGCTTCACTTTACCTTTAGCTGTGTCACACGCTGGGCTCTCCCCAAAGCACCCTCTCCGTTGCTTGAGGTCTGGACAGGCTGGGATTGCACAGAGCAAAGCAGCTCCTGTTACATCCGAGCTGCGCCGAACCCCACAACTGACACTGGATCATGGGTGTATTCTAACACATGCAGACGATGGCAGAAACATTTCCGTAAATGCTTCACTTTACCTTTAGCTGTGTCACACGCTGGGCTCTCCCCAAAGCACCCTCTCCGTTGCTTGAGGTCTGGACAGGGGGTCCCTCCATTTCTGGGTGGGACTGTGACTTGCCGAGTTCTCTCTTTGTTACCAACTCCACACAGGGAGCTGCACTCACTCCAAGGGCCCCAGGAACCCACCATGCAGTGGATGGCTGCTAGAAGATATGAGAAAAGACGTGGGGAGGGGATGGAGAATGATTGAGAATCAGATGGAGGGAAAGTGAGAGGTATGAAATAGGTACAGATTGAACACAGAAGAGAATGAGTCACAGATGAGGAGAACACGAGAGAGGAGAATGAAGGAGTGGGTGAAAGAGGAACAAAAAGGGAGAAAAAAAAAACCAAGAGGAATCAGTAGGATTGTAAAAGCCTACACTGATCATGTCCCTTCCCCTGTCTAACAGAAAGTAAGAGCTTCCTAGCAGCGCACTCAATTGTCAACTCATTTCTGAGTCAGTAGCGTACAGAGAGGCAGCAATAAAACCCCGAGGATTTAGAGGAGGCCCCATGAACCAGGAACCCAGTTGATCAATAAGCCTTATGTCTCCACTGCCAAAACAGCCCATCTTTCCTTCCTTCTGACTTACTGCCTCTCTCCCGCTCCCTAGGACTGTTCCCACCACGCTCAGCTCTCTGGCCAAAGCGTCCCATCCTGTCGCACATGGTGTGTAACCTTTCCGAGCAGATATCCCCCTCCTTGGAGCTCCCAGCAGCGTGAAATAGAAACTCTGGAAAGGTTTGCCTCTTAGTGGGGCTTGCAAGAAACTTCAATCCCATGGCCTGTCAATAATAGCACTATTCAGCCAGGCGAGCATGTGACCTGTCAGCTGTACCAAGTATGGCAGAGACTGCAGGAGAAGCAGAAATCCTGAGAAGTCACACACAATGCAGCAAGGCCCAGGGGCAGTCATCAGTAAACACAATGCACGCACACATGCCTCCTAAATTCAAATCTACCATGCAATTGGAGGGGACGGGAAGGGCTTAAAAACAAAAACAAACAAACAAAAAAACCCCACAATGTTACCAGCTCTCATGAGTTTTACCCTTAAGTCTCATATCTGGCGCTTTTCTGAAAGCTCCAGCACCTGGGAGTCCTATGATAGGAGAATAGCAGTTTAAAAAAAAAGTCTACATCTAACCCTCATGGCCACAGAGGAAAAGCTTGAAAACCTGACCCTGGGAGGACATAATGCCAAGGGCACATAAAAAGAACCCAAAAGGTATTATCAAATAAATCTCATTTCGTGGGGGTGCGAAAGGTTGGGATACTCAGGGTTAGGGGCCCTGATTTTAAGAAGAGGTAATAGACCTAACTTAGTGCAGCATTATTTCCATGTTTCTTGTGAATGCAGCTGCATTATACTGGTATAAACTATGGGGGTTGAATCAAGCTCTGCATTTGCAGTTGCATCTAATTCTCTGCAGGCGTAAGTGGGCACAGCACAACGCTCCACTGATTTCTGTTCATTTGTGACCACTTACAAATTCCCTGCTGGTGTCTCCCAATCTGCAGAAACACCAAATTAAGTAAATGTGGTTGACTGGGGTGTTCCAGCCAACATGCAGCATGAGACTGATACAGCAGCAGATAAAAAGACAAAACAAGGTTCATGTTACTAACTGCATCTCCTGCTGTCAAAAACATTCCTGATAGCGCTTAGGCAGACATTCAATTACAACCTTATGTTCCCAAATGTTAGTGAGGACAATGTATCCCACAATAATCCAATGAAGTGTTAGCTGCAACATCAAACATTGAAGAAGAGAGGTAGGTAGGCCTCAGAGGGCTCTGTGGCTCAGCCAATCCCTTGTGTTTAATAAAAGGAACAGTGCAAAGAGTAATCTGCATAGATGTAGAAATGAGGCAACAAATGGGTAACTCAAGTCATTCACATTCCCTCTGATTCAAACGAGATGCAAGGAAAACAGACCACATTCCCAATCCTGCCGTACTAGTTCAGATCAACTCTAATCCTATAGATTCATTCATTTGTGACAAGCCAAGATAAGGGCAGCTGCATAATGAGACATTAGAAAAATATCCTTATTATAGAGCAAGAATCCAAACCTCTCTTCCCCTCCCCCCCTTTTCACTGACATTTTCAACCAATGCCCTGGACTGTAATTTTGGAACAGTCTCTCCTTTTGGATTCAGCTCCCGGATTTTGCTTTGCATCCAGAACGGAGCTGGAGGTGTAATTCCCAGCTTGTGGAGATATACCCACGCTAGCTCGGACTGAGCTAATGTGCTAAAATTAGAAAGCTAACACCAATGTCTGCAAGTTACAGCACCAGTGTATTCTCAGCAGGAGCCCACCTGTAGAAATGCTGGACTAGCAACGGGCAGTGCTGTAAGTGTAATAAATTATGCTTAGTTGTTGGAGGCCAACAACATGCTCAGTGCTTTGCAACACTAACAAAGACACATCCTGAATCTCAGAGGCAGCCCTGGAGAAAGCAAGACTCACTGGGACGTTCAGAGAAGGGAGACTTTCAAAAGAGGCCTAATTTTTTAGACTAAAATTCCCCTTAGATTTTTGTACCCTTTACTGCATCAGCTCAAAACTCTGGGGCTGTTAACGTCCAAGGATTTGAAGAGGGAAATCCCTCCCCCAGTAATTCACAATTCTCCCCAGCACCAGGCAGCCCTGGAGAAAGCAAGACTCACTGGGACGTTCAGAGAAGGGAGACTTTCAAAAGAGGCCTAATTTTTTAGACTAAAATTCCCCTTAGATTTTTGTACCCTTTACTGCATCAGCTCAAAACTCTGGGGCTGTTAACGTCCAAGGATTTGAAGAGGGAAATCCCTCCCCCAGTAATTCACAATTCTCCCCAGCACCGTGTTTCCACAAAGCCAGGGAAAGGGCTGGGGCAGGACTGGTCACATACAACAGCACACAATGCAAAGTGGTCTATTATCCAGGTGAAGCCAGCAGCTAAACCAGCACCACAGCCATCGGGTCAGCTCAGTTCAGATGGCCCATGGGAACGGCAACTGCTCTTGGGCAGGACAGGATTAGCGAGAGCTCATTTCTCCATCAAGCTCTGGGACACCTGAATGCTCCTATCCTGGAGTGCCATGTCCATGAGATTTGGCCATTTTACACCTTGCGGAATCCTCACAGCTCATTTCTGTGCCTGGACAGAAGCAGAGGGATCATCACCTGAAAGCAGGTGAGAGAAAAGGGAGACTCAACTGAGGCAGAGTCCACTGGGAACAGGTTAGGCCACTAAAATGGGCTATGCTCTCAGCAAAGAGTATTGTGAAAGTCAAGTGAACCAGGCACTCCAGAGGCACAAGAATTCTCCACCTGCGTGTTTCTTCTAGGGATATTAAATATTGGTTAATTGAATAGTCAAGTAACCTCATGAATTCTAATCAACTACTAACTATTCTATAGTCTCCAGGGGTGGGGTCGGCAGCCAGGGCGCTCTGGCCCCACTCCTGAGGAGCCGCCGGCAACCCCGTGCTGCTGCCTTTGTATCAGTGGCAACAGCAACCAGGGTGCTAGGAGGGAGCTGGTCCATGAGGGGAGCCAGTTTAAAAACCAGCTCCCCTTGAGGACCAGCTACCTGTTGCCCTGTGGTGCTGCCTTTGCTAAAGAGACAGCAGCACAGGGTGGCAGCAACCCCTGTCTAGTGGAGCCCACCCAGCTCCTAATACACTTTAAATGCAGAACTGCAGCAGGGTTAGGTCCCAGACCCATCACAAGCCAGGACTGAGCTGGGCTGCTGGCCAGCCTCCTAAAAAATTTACTGGCAAGGGAAGGGCGGGGAAAATGTTTGTAGTCTATAGCATTAACCTATAAGCTTTTGTTTACTGGTTGATCGACTACACTATTACATACCTAGTTTCTTCCAGGGGTAGGAGCCAAATCCTGTTACTATATAATCTAGTTGTGTGGAAAAAAGCATCCCCTCATGCCCTCCAGTAGTACAATCAGGGTCTGTGGGTGGGGAAGCACAAAAGTGTCCTGTTCCTCCCCCCCCCTCCCATTTCACATGAGGCCCCACCCCTTTCAGGGAAGCCCAGGGCCACTTCAAAAATTATTGCCCACCCACCTGGCCTAGGAGCACATTGCGGATTTGCACCAAGCAGGAC